CCTGACAGCCCATTGTATAGCTTTGTGCTAAAATAACAACAGTTATTATGCTGTTTTATCTATTGTTACTTGAACGAAACTATTTCTTATAGTTTAGATAAGTTTCATTGTAATAGTTATATGTTTAAAACTAAGTGCATTATTAAAAAGAGTTGGAAGCGAATATATGATAATTTAGCAACTATATAAATGATACGCTTGCGATTGTTTGTCTGTCCGAAAAATTTCTCGCAATTTTCTCGATTAAACGCCAAAAATCTCATATCGTTAGAAAGGCCTTTGTCAGAGGAATCTGGAGTGCATATTGGCTTTTCAATTCAGAATCACCTTACTTGTTTTTTGCTTAGTTAAAAATTTCAATGCAATGAGTAGGGTACATGATTGCACAACGCCGTTGTCATCACGTGACGCCTGGCTTCCATTTCAACTTTAGTTTTTTTATTTACAAAATATTTCACACAAACAACACTTAATCCACCAGTAATTTTCTAACAAAATGAACATTACACTGAGTAGAATTTCTATGGGCTTTCTTGACTTATTTACATCTAAAATATGCATGTGCAGTTTGTTCAAAACCACATGCTTATCACTTTGTGAACAATTATTCAGACGGTTCTGTATATTCAGCTAAGTTTGCCTTCATTACAACTTTACGTTTACTTAAATTTGTAATAATTTAGATTCGGTTCGTTTGACAGACTGCTATAAACACATTTTAGCTACTTTTTCGTTACTATGTATTTTATTCTTCGTTTTTGTGAATTTATTTGTTTCAACTTGCAAAACTTTATCATACACTGCACGCTCATAATTGTTTCATACTCTCTACACTATTATAAATACTATTACTAGCTTAAATGACATTCGTGAACATGATAGAATAAGGAAAATTCAAGTGAAGGGCATGAAACTACCGCAAATGTTTTGTGGGTCGAGGGTAGTTTTTACTAATTTCATTCAAGTATAATTTCAAACACGACAATATTTTGAGGAAATATAGTATATATATATATATATACATATATGCTAACAGCACTAAAATACACATAGAAATTAGTTTGAGCAAAAGCATTAGCTAGTAGTTAGCGTGTTGAACTGCGAAGCACAGGGCCCAGGGTTTGAGCCTTGATGCCACTGAAGACAGTTTCAGCTGTTAGTGCATTAGAGAGCCAAACAAAGCCCTTGTGACGCCGTTAATGTTGGCTGGGTTCCTTTCCTTTGGTCAATAGCTCAAAATTGCAAACGGCTATACCCGAATCTTAGGGATTTCGGACAACAGGTTCAAGCTAAAAATTCCAAGTTCTGAGTGAACTGGTTAGGTTATTCGGATGGTATACATTGGTATCTGTTTGTATTATTATATTTCTAGCTTCTAACAGTTACCGATAATTAGTTGCCAAAACATTCTCGCCATAAAATTTCGTACTTATGAGCTTCTGCTTACAAATGGATAACTTACTAGAAATTCTGTTTATAGTTAGTTCTTCAAGAAAATAAACTATTACTACATCCTAATCACCAAGTGATTTGTTTACATAGAAAACTGCCTATAAAGAGTTAACAAGGCTTCGTTGATGGAAAAATTTATTCTTTTTTCCAGCAAGCAAATAGTTATTAACGAATGAGTATGGCTATTTAGGTCAAAAAGGTGCGTTGATGGTAATTTTTTGTCTGTTTGTTTATTTCGAATACTTGCGCAAAGCTACACAGGAGATATTTGCCTAGCCTTCCCTAATATTGAACTGATAGACTGGAGAGATGATAGTTAGTCTACACCGCCAACCACCAATTTTTAGTATATTTATAATCTAATAGTAGGAAATGACCATTACTCTTATAACATTTCTACAGGTCTAAAGTGCGGAGCGTATTTTTTTTTTTTTTTGCAAATATGAGACGCGAGCCGTGGGCCTCGAGAGCCATAGCCTGGTAGGCTAACCGTTAGGCCACGCCCGGCCTAATAAGAAGTTTTAAAGTACGCTCTTTTTTTTTTTTTCCAGCAAATTAATTACTGTTAGCCAATGAGATTGATATGTACAGGTAAGAAGGGTTTGTTGATTAAAAACTGATATTACCTACTAAGTATGATTGGACAAATGTCATCTACGTAACGTGTACTGGTTATTTACGTTATACCACTGTTTTAAGAACTTCTAAGTGAAAGTTTCAGTTTCAGCTTTCGAGATCATTCTTATCATTTGAAACTTTTTCCCTGTGTGTTTCGGAGAACAAAACCAAAACCGAACTTTATGAAAGTTTGTTTGAAGTTTGTTTTGAATTTCGCGCAAAGCTACACGAGGGCTATCTGCGCTAGCCGTCCCTAATTTAGCAGTGTAAGACTAGAGGGAAGGCAGCTAGTCATTACCACCCACTGCCAACTCTTGGGATACTCTTTTACCACACGAATAGTGGGATTGACCGTCACATTATAACGCCCCCACGGCTGAGAGGGCGAGCATGTTTGACGTGACGGGGATTCGAACCCGCGACCCTCAGATTGCGAGTCGAGTGTCTTAACCATCTGGCCATGCCGGGCCCTTTTATGAAAGTATCTTGATTTCA